ATTTACTGCCAGCTTCAAATAAATGAATTATTCTGGTATAGAATTTGTCCATAGCACAAAGTTACAAATGTTATTTCATGACCTTTTGCCCCTTGTCCTGTCCTACACAGCTGCTGTAAGGCCCAAGGGCTGATTCAGGTGTACTGTGCTGTATTTCTTATTATTTATTATTTTAGGCATTGGTCCTGGTCTAGTCTAAAGAGTAGGTTCAGCATCTGTATTTGCACTCTGTAATGCAGTCTGTAGTATGATCTGCTAGCATGCTTTGGCCTAGGATACCCTTTGTTACCTGTGTGACATACAAAAGGATATCCAGGGAGACAGTGTTTGCACCTGTGTTCCAGTCTTCAAGTTTATGGATCTCCCCATCGTCCCTTACAGTGAATATCTGTGCACACGAGCACCCTACCTAGGCTTCCACATCCTGCCCCAAGTCTCTGGCAAGCCAAAGAAAGGTAGAAAGGTTCCTAATTCTTTTTTCACCATCTCTCTACAGTATCCCAACACTCTTGCACTCCCCAGCTGCCCCTCAAAACCTCCCAGGTGGGTGCCTGCCAGTCCTTTGAACCGTTGACACATGTCAGAGGAAGAGGTGCATTGTCAGAACAGGAACAAAGCAGCATTTCCCTGGGGGGCTCCACTGAAATCAGGGATTTTCTGGGCTGGCACAGGCCCCGTCAGCCCTCGGTGCTGCGTGTGCTGTGGTGCCTCGGCCACTGGGTCCGCATCATGCGGCCGTCAGTGCGCACAGCGCTGCCTTCAGGGGGTGGAGATACCTGCAGAAGTGTAGCATTATATAAAAACAGTGTACGTGGTACATTTATACTCAGTTACTTTGGAGGCTTTTTCTCTGAAACTTGATTTTAAAGAGCAGCTTCAGGAAAGAAAGATTCAAAATATACAGTAATGGATCACTTTACAAAGTCTTTGCAAGAGAAAGCAGTAGCTTTAAGATCAGCCAGAGTCATGTATGACATTTTCATGGGTAAGTGGGAGGGATCAGCATTTTCACAGTCCTTTATTTGAAGTCAGTAGATTGCTGAATCAGTTTCTCAATAATTTGCTGTGACTGGGAAGCTGGATACAATTACTGGTAAAATGACTGTATTTCCAGAGTCTTTTGGAGAAAAACGTGCTCCACAAGACTGGCAAAGGAGGTTACAGTGACCAATATCCACGTGTTTTAATTCTCTACGGTCATTTCTGTATGCTTATCTCCTATTTTTGGTCTGAAGCTTCATTTCCCTTTCACAGCTGTGAATTCTCTGGTGGGCCCTGCAGATGGATTTGATAAATGCTGCTAATATCACCTCCTGATCTACCAGTGCTCTGACTTTGGTCTGTAGGTCTTGATGAGTAATTGCTGTTGTTCTACTCCAATGACTGAATTAAGTTGCCCTGTTTTAAGGGGTTCATATGTGTGTGATTCCAGCCAAGGTGGCCCACATACCAGTGGCTGTTGACCTTTTACCAGTGTCACGTTGCTTTAGGCTGAAGCAACCAGAATTATCTTGATTTCTGCAATGGGCTAACCTGCATCATAACCCTCTGATTACTGTCAAGCTGCATAATGGTGAAATTTAGGATTTTGTGCATCGCCTTCTTCTCCACCCTGGCACGTAAATGCACATTAAGAGTGTTGCCAGGAGAAAGGGAGGGAAGAATGAAAGCCTTCAGCAGGTCTTACAGACAACACAGCACCCTGGAAACCAGCAGTTCTGGTGATTCCCTCAGGAGGCAATGGCACTGCAGCTCTAAGTGCTTTCAGTTCTTCTCGAAGGAAATAGGAGATACCGTTCACTGCGAGCGCAGTCGCTGGCACGCACACTGCCCGGCTGCGTTCCCGCGCACAGTGCGTCTCGGGTCTAGCTTATTACAGAGATGCTACTTGTGTGAGGGATGGTGTTTTCGTTGGGAAGGTGTTACTCAAATGTTCGTATTGGGCTGGTCACTGGACATTGTGGAGCAAATATCTCAGTATCAGCAACTCAGTATTGCCACAGACAGAACAGACCCTGATCATCCTCACTCTCATTTAGGTATAAATACATTGGTGAAACTGAGCTCGGGAAAAAAAACAGTCTTTTGAACTGCCTATGGCATAGAATTCCAGAATGAACTGCCAGTGACAGCATTTTAAAATCTCTGTGTAATTGCTCAAATTACCCCAGCACATCATGTAACACCTTAAGGATTTGGTTCTTAAGGATGATCTTTTAATGAGTAAATTAAATAGAGCAATCTATTGATTTTTAGCCTGTGAACTTAATTTCTTTGTCATTTTTAAGGCATTCAGAGTGGCAGACATACTCATGTTTACTGTTACAGCAGTGGCATTATTCACAGTGCTGTTTGGTGTGCAGCATGGAAATGAGTGAGCAGTTTGTGCTGAAAATTGCCGTGAAAGGAATATGTTCCAGGTGGGGTTTTTTAAAGACAATGTTAGATGCCATAAAGGTAAAGACATTACCCTATGAAATTCTGAGTGCTCCTCAGTATCATCTCACCCATGATGATTGCAATTCCTTTCTGTCGTATGAGGTTGCTCCATACTCCTGTCCTAAAGCAGATGCCCTCCGTAAGGGCAGGCACGTGTCTGTCTGCAGTCTGTGGATGTGTTTGGACAGAAGGTTACAGATACTGTAGCACAGTCACTTCATAGCTAGGAAACACAATTTAATAAAGCACACAATTATCCAGTATATATCAGGAGTTAAAAATTTTGCAAGTAATCCAGTGAAAATATTGGGCCATTTTACATGTGGGTATGGATTCTTCACCACAAGAATTCCCTAAATACTTCCAGACACCTAGCTGGGCTTTGGCATCCAGCTGGGTCATCGTGAGGTCTTGTCTGTGTTGTCTCAGGTTGAAGCTGTCCCTTCACCTGGGGAAACTTGGGGAACTTACAGAGGGCACAGCAGACAATACTGTGTCTTGTTTGTTATCTGTCACCAGTGTCAGCAGCTCATCTGCCTAGCACTGACACGGCTGCACACACAACTGCAGCAAACAATCACAGCAGAAACTTGAGTGGGTAGTAACGCACGTCCAGATGCCTAGTCCTCCACACCCCAGGCTTCACCGAGTTGGCAAATATCATCACAGCAAGAACAACCTGAATGTATGAAATTTGGGGAGAGTGGATTGGTCTGAGAGGACAATGTGTCGATTGAATGTCGCTAGCCCTTGGGATGCACATGAGTAATTTATACCATTGTGTTCTGTGGAGCATTGTTCTGTCATTCAGTCCTCACAGCTTAACGCCTCAGAAACAGCTCTCTTCTCCCACAGGTCCCCTGCCCTACCCCGAGCTGTTTACTTGGAGTGGTAGGAAGTGTGTATTTGCACCACTTTAATAGACATATATTTCAAATAAAAGTCTTAACTGGGGGTGGCAGCTGGTTTCCCTACCCCAGAGTCACGTTGGGCAGATGATGCCTTTAGGTGGAGACACATGGAGCAGGAAAGGGTTTCGTTTCATAGCCAGGGCGTGTGTATGTTTTGTGTGCATGCATACTGAAATACAGGCTCACAGTCTGGAAACGTGCGTGGTAATGGAAACAGCCTTTTTTCCTGAAGTACGCTGAGGCTGCTTCAGTGAGAACTGTGGGTGGCTGGACCAGCCCGGCTCTTTAAGGATTGAGCATATAATTAGATACATCCTGTAAGTTTCCACACAGATATTTCTAAATATTTATCCAAACCTAGTGAATTCCCAAGCTTTGGATCAGATGGTAAAGCATGTGCAAATTATCCACAGTTATTGGTGTTGCAGAACCTTTTCCAGTGTACCATCACCGTTTGGTGTCGGATGCACTGAAGTGGGAAAGCTGCCCATCACCTGCCATCCTTGTGTAAAGGTTCCTCCATCCACCAGCACGGCCTGGAGAGCCTGAAGAGAGCTGGGTAGGCTGGAGAGAGGGAGCTAATCAGCAGTGCAAGTGGTTCAGGTAGCTGCTTTTCACACAGATAATTAATGTGTACAAGCAGCTGCTAATTGCACGTTTCAGGAATGATTTATGAGGTGGCAGAGGGGAAAGAGGGACACAGTCTAATGTTTTTGGGAACCTCTGCCATTCATACAGTGGTATCAGCACAGCTGTGAGATGGGACATGATTAATGAAGAGCGGGCAAACACGCCGTGGCGCGGGACATTGTCAGAGCCAGCACTGCGTGCAGGGTGAGCCTTTGTCTTCAGCTCTCGGGTTCCCCGGGACGTCAGGCTGCCTGGGTTTGTGTCCATCAGAACCCTTACAGGTTTAATGCGGGCAATTATCAGTGAGTTGTTCTGAGCAGGTTTGTGTGTATGGACGAAGACTGGGGATATTTATTCTCTCTGTAGAGGTCCAGGGGAAAACAAGTGTGGCGAGGACTAATATTTAAATAGGACATGAAATCTAGGCTTAGGAGCATCTGTGTTAAGCACCTGATTCTGGTGCTCTGTCTTGACTGCTGCCTGGGAACACCTTTTACCTACTGTCACTTCTCACTCCATCTGCTGTCTGCCATGCACCACCCAAAATAAGTGTGAAGAAACACCACTTGTCTTTGCTTGGGAGGAGTGCACATCCTTGTGTTTATTGTACCTGCTTATCTGAGCCAAAGAGAACACAAAGTAATATGATACATTTTGCTGACATGCTCATGGGTTGATTAGCATATCAGTTTGCTGTGTTTTCTTAACACTAGTCTGCTTTAACTCTGAACAGATTGCTATAAAATTTGAGGAAATATAGCCTTCCTGCAGTAGTGCACATGCAGGTCAGTGTTTCACTGAGAGGAAAATGAACGTTTTGAGCACTTTTCTCAATGCACTGTTTATGTGTCAAAATAGTCCAGGGTGGTTTGCACTGTATTTTAAAACCTATTCTGTGAGGGATATACCTCCAGCTGTGTAATCAAAGTCTCTGTTTATTTCCTTTTATATCATGTAGTGTTTTTTAACTACTGCAGTTCAACATTAAAGAGTGAATGCATTTATTTCTGTCTTTTATAGCTTTTAGAATTTGACAGAGAGCTGTCAGTCTTTAAAGACAGATTGTATGAACTGGACATCTCATTTCCTCCCAGGTAAGATTCATATATAATCCATTTATCTAACTGGCTAAAACATAATTGTTACTGGCACTGTAGGTAAAATGTGAGTGTTCCCATACTTATTGCAGAAATGATAATGATGTGTGTTCCTTTCATGAATGTTTGTTCTTCCCACATCCCCTCCATCATTACATAAACCACGTGCCAGTACTGCTCTGTAGCTCATCATTTGGGTTCTGCTGATCCTGTCTTTTATAGCTGCTCTTAAAACAGACCTGGCAGGATTGTGTCCTCAGAGATGCGTATGGACTTCTAAAGGCTGGGCCCAGACCACCTGTTAAATTACTTTATTGCGGCCATAAAGACAGTGTTTGCCTCAAGCCGTTCGATGACTCAGGCAGTGGCACTCAGCAGGAGCTGACTGGACGCAGGTTGCAGAGCCTGGAGCCATCGCTTGGGGGACTCCAGGAGGGGAATCGGGAAGATTCTGTGTTTTCAGTAAACATCACAGAACTGCTGAGGCTGTTAGAACAACCTGTCTGGCTTAACACACATGCCTCAGCTTCATCCCTGAGCTGGACTTCTGCCATGAGTAGACAAGTATTGCTGCCACACAAACCCAAGATTTTTGTGAATCGCAGTCAGTTCCAGGGAAATATGTGGAAAATTTTAAACGTGTGGCCCCTGTCCAAGAGTGAAGTCAAGTGCCACAGCTGGTTTAAGGGGAAGAAATACTGCATTCACAAAGAAAAAGTTTGGGAATTGATGGAAAAAAAGATAGGTAAACCCATGCTTTTTATATACCTTTTTTTGAGTAGATACAATACTTTTAAATATTGCTATTTTATCCTTCATCGACAGATAGAAAAGTATAATGTTTTGGCATACACTAAGAAAAAAATTTGGAAAGCTTGCCTTTTTGTGATCATAATCTCATTACTCCTCACCAGCCAGCTGTGATACTCATTGTATTGATCCCTGGGGACAGTGGAAGTATGCACGGAGAGGTTACCGCCGCTCTAAATTGTCCTTATTGATTGAATATGATAACAGGAGACCAGCAGTGTGTACATTTCTGAATGTGTCTCACGCCTCATGTACCTGGTCAGGGCAAAAGGGGGTGAGGGGAGGTGACAGGACTTTTTGACAGACATCCTCTCCTACCTGACTTCACCAGCATTAGTGCTTCCTGCCAGCACAAGTCTTGGCACAAATACGCTGCTGCATGAAGAGTTTGCAGATCCTCCAGACCACTCTGTAAGTGCTGCTTTCAAGCAAAGATCAGAAACTTGGCATGAGTAGTCTGTGTTTGTCTTGGTTCTACTCACTCTGTTTCCTTCTTAACAACTAGGTAATAGTAATAATAACAAAACAGTAATAAATCTGTACATACTGAAAGCTGGAATGGAAGGGATGAGTTTCAGTAACACAAAATGTCTCCATAATTGAGCATAGAATATTGATAAAATAGGAGAATTGAATATGAGAATACTGCAACAAAACCAAGATGTAAACCCAACAGGCTAAACTCACGTGTGTAGAAGGGCAAACTGGCTTTACATTAGGGTGCTTTTTTCACCCATCCCTCCTAGTGTCATGTGGCCAGGGCATCCTGCTGCCCAGGCCGCCGTCCTTGCACGGCCCCAGGAGGCTGTGCCAGGGTGAGGTGCTGTGGGTTCTGGGTCGTAAGAGGTCCCTCAAGTCCAGGTGAAACCAAGGACATTGATTTTCCTGGAAGAAGTACTGTGATTTATTTTTCATTGTATTGAAACCATAGTGTCCTGTTGACTGCAAAACCAGGTATTTTGAGTGGGCAGAAAGCAGTGGTTTCAACGTAGGACGTGTTCTTTGGAACCTTTCCACTCATGCAAGAAAGAAATGAGATACATGACGCAAACGTGTTGGTTTCACATCCAGTAGTTTTTCCTCCATTTTCCCCTCATTTAATCTTTTTTTGTAGCTTACGATGATTTAGCTGCTTTTATATCCTGTTTGTAAATAGGAGTATAATATACATTTGTCATATATCCAGTCATACCTGATTTTGTATTTTTACCCAGAGGAGAATACGATCGGTCCTGTGTGTTTAGAAACCACTTCTTTAAGCTTCTTGTCATTCTTACCTGGAATGTGTGTGGCACATCCATTTGTTCTGCAAATGTCTCTAACAAAGGCTTTGTCACTGAAGGGAGGGACAGAGAAAGCCCTGGTCACTTCTGTGTCAGGCTGAGTTAGGGCCTTAGTTAGCAAGCTCTGGAATTTAGAAGGAAGTTGTAAGCAATTGTAATGCTAGCCTTAAAGCTGTATTTCAGAATTTGTTTTACACATGATACTTTAATTATGGTCCATTGATTTGGTCTATGAATCACTCTACTTCAGTTCTTGATCCTTGGCGTCTGGACTTACATCACGGGATGCAGACAGAGTTACCTCGGTTAAAGCAGCACTGAACATGTCTGTGACTGCCTCCCACAGCTCTCAGACAAGGGAAGGGCAGTGAGGGCAGTTTTCTCTTTATTTCGTTTGCTTCATCATTTGTGCATACAATTAATTGCCTGGTTTGCACACAGAGTTCTACAAACCAATGGCACAGTTGCAGTTCTGTCTTTCTTGTAACTTTTTAGCTCAAAAAGTCTTCTGGAGATTCAGTGTCCTCTTGAGACAGATGGAAAAGGTCACAGCCCTTTGAGTTGGAGCAGGCTAAGTTACTTACAAATTCATTTTTTATAGGCATAAACTGCTTATTCTCTGGACTGTATCTGGAGATGTTATTGATAGAATACCATAGCTGGCCTGGGATTGAAAGCTTTGCTCCTTCGAGCGGGTGGTGTTTCTGTGGTTAACTTTCCCCCCAAGCAGCTCCCTGGGCCTGTTCACTACTGTGATCCATTGCTGCGGGTGTAAGCAGGGTCAGGGAGCACCAGGCTGCCTGTAACTGACCCGTGTGCTCCCTTGCTGCCCTGCCTGGCACCCAGTCCAGCCCGGACAGCCCTTGTTTAAACCCTCTGCCATGAGCTGTGTTAGGTTGACTGTCCCTTGGGGAAGGCTGCATAAAACACTGTAGCTAAATGAATACAACCTTGGAGACTTGGCTTTAATCGCTAAAAGCCAAGACAGTCAATTCTGTATTTAGGAAAGCTGTTTATCAAGACTTTACAAGTTTGTAATGACTATTGCATTTATTGTGGGTTGAAACCTGACAAGAGACACTTCAAAACAAGAAGTAAAACTCCTGTTTCCTGTTGGGTCACAGCAGGGTTGCATTAGAGCTCCCCGCCAGGCTGTTGCAGGGGGATTTTCCTACCCCTATAGCGTATCTTCTTTGGGTTACTCATTCTGAGCACAGCAGGCACGAGGTCAAAAGGACAAGTGGAAGTAGAGGATGCTGTCAGCCCATGTCCAGCCACCCGCCTGGAGATGAGAAGGGAGCCGAGTCCTGCTCTCAGGGTTCCTTCTGCAGTTCACAGGACAAAACCAAAAAACAGCTCTAGGAGTGGAGACCAGAGCATTGCTGGGGGTGATAAGATGGCAGGTGAATGAGGATTTTCAGAACTGCCATTTTAGCCTTAGTTGAATATAAATTAAATTGAGGTTCTCTGTTTTTATCTAGCCATTAATTCAGTTTGTCTTCTTTTTCTCCCCTTTTGAAACAACAATTCACTTCTAAGTTTTCAAACTGCTAAGTAATATGCAAATGACATTGTTGGATTTTACATAACTATGTTCATATTTTTTATCATATATTGATTTTGATAGGTATAGATCATAAGTATTTCGATAATAGTTCTGTGAGAATTTATAGTTATAAATTGAATTTGCATCTGTAACTGGAATGGCACAGCAAATTCATGTAACTGTATATGCAAGGGGGTTTCCACAAGGTCTTGACAGACTGTGTTAGTGCCTGTTAGCTTCAGTACTTTCCAGGTAACTTTGAGTGTAGGAAGGATTCAAGAGCCACTTCTGAGCTCTCCTACAGCTGCATCTAAAAATAGCATCTCTGCAGGCATATTTAGGGAACTCAGACCAGACCTATTGTTCTTCTCTAGTGCTATACTGTCAGTTAGTCCAAGACCATATTTCTGCTTGATCTGATGTGAATCTTCCTCCTGCCCTGGGCGACCGTCGTGCTGCGGTGCGGAGGGAGTCACCCCTCGGAAGCATCCAGAACACGGCCTTGACCCAGCGTCAGGACCTTCTGACCCAAACCGTTCTTTGATTCTGTCGTTCTGTAGCACTTGCAGCATCTGCAGGGCTCTCAGTTACCTCCTGTCTCTTCAGCAGGTCTCTTGATATCCAGGCATTTTCCTAAATTCCTCTTCATTTCTGAGTTCCTTTTAATTCCTTACTGTGTGTGCCTAAGCCGTATCAGCTCAGCACCAGGGATGCAGTGAGCGAGCTGCCAGGGGAAGGTCTCACCACGCTCTCTGGATGTGGTGTGCTGGTGCGTGAGCCCCAGCCGGCAGTCGTGCCCCAGCACCCTCTGCCCAGGGCCTGCCCGCAGGGACAGTGCCCACCATGCCCCGGTGGCTAGAGAACAGCCCAAGCTGGGGGCAGAGGCTCTGCAGAGCCCACCTCTGGGCACCCCTGGACAGCCCTTCCTCTGGCCTCCTGAGCCGTGCCAAAGGCCAGGGCAGCCTGGCAGGGCTGCTGCCTTAGGCAGGCAGTAAGAGCCCTTCCAGCAGAGTACTTGTCAGACATTATTCACCCGTTCCTATCCTTCTGTATTTTGAGGCCTTTTATTTTGTATAGTGAATATTCATGTTTTCGTCTTGTTACCCTTTGTGATCTAATGTAGCCCATAGCAACCCAAGCCATTGGAGATTAAATACAATTCAGAATTTTAAACTCTGTAAGCTCTATCATTCATGGCCAAACAGCCTGGCCATAAGCAAACAGCCCAGTCTGAGGCTGCAAAGGAGTTCGTGGCAGTCAGCAATCACTGCAAAAGGCAGGAGGTATGAAAAAGAAGGAACGACATTGTGGTCTGTCAATATACAGGTGGGCAATTGTTACCTTTATCACTGCTCTCC